GCTGGCTCACTAGTACTACAGGGTACCCAAAAAATTCCAACAAGAATTGTAGATTATAAGAATATATAAGATAAATAACGTTTATACTTGGACTTCAAGAAGTTAACGTTGTAATTCTTGAGGAATCATCTTATCGGGTGTTTGCTCCACAAAGCTAGGATGGAAAGAAAATTGTCGGCTCCATCCGTATGGGTCATGGGTTTTCGCTTAAAGGCATAAGCTAGAGGAAAGTGAATGTAGCACAATTATAGAGTGGAGATGGTTATCTTATTTGAATTGCTTGTTTTTATTCTTAAGTTTTCTTTCTTGCCACCGTAATATCTGGGCGTATGTTTATCGATTCCATTTAGTACTGTCCGATGAAAGAAGACAGTTTTCCTAAGTCTCCCTGGGCATTTACTCTTGATAGGCTTTCTTAAGTGCCTCGTAGTAACCTCAATTGAAGGTATGGCTATTTTGAAGTGTGCCATTATTATCATCAGTCGTTTATGGTGGCTCTTTGAAAATTGCCTGCAAAGAAGCGAAACACTTTCGATAGAACGCGATTTTAAAATAAACCAATAATTTGCCAACGAAAGAAAGATTATTCCTCTTAAAGTCAACAGACTATCCCAGTCGACACAGTATTTAATAACCGTCTTCCACACACGAATTTTGCAATCGGTTTAATAATCTCCAACTCAACAATTCATCACTGAAATCCGATGAAAAAAGAAAAAGTAGAAAAAAAGTAGAAAGAAGATAAAAAGAAGTGAAATATTTGGAAATTAAAAATTGTTATTTACTTGTTCATTTTATTTTTCAGTGTTGTAGTTCGAAATGCAAAATGCCGTTTAAATCTCAACCCCTGTGGTTATTTTCGATTGGGTTATTCAGTTTTTTTCTAATATTAGGGACAATGCTTTGGAATTTCTCTTTGTCTCTGAAAGTGATCAACCCAACTTTCATCAGGGGTTAGGAAAGGTTCAAGAAAATGGTTCTACATCAAACAATGTAATATTTTCCCGAGATGTGATCAGCTGGTGAGCTTTTTATTAAGAGTCAGAAGACGTGGCTCCTGCCGGGAAGAAGCTTTCGTCATACCAAGTCGCTGTAGAGAGTATTCTCAACTCTCTCAAAGAATATGTTAATAGAATTGGCTGTTTAATTTATGGTCAATTACCTGTCATCCATCATCATATGGTGAAGACGCTCAATGTTTTCCTTGATCGTGTCAGTTGCAAGACGTTCAGAACTTGTGTCATTTTAAAGGCTCTTCTTCCGCTCGTAAATTCAGCTGCCCACGTTTGTACTATTGATATAGCTGGAGCGTTATCTCCTAATGTAGCACCTTTGCCAGGAAGACTACCCTTGAGGGCTAAATCCCTTTATTCTGCAGGTACTTGATAATATCATGATGCCAAATTTTGTCGGTTTTCAAAAGAATTCGTATTAGGTATTTTGAAATCTTTACCTGAAAAAAAATGTATCTATTAATAAGATTTGAAATTAATTTATGCAGTAGTTCACAGCTCTAACTTTACTCTTTCTTAATGAGCTTATTAACCTTTAAGCCCAACCTCGTATATAAGTAACTCTCCTCACAATATAAGCGTAGTTGCTCCCAAGAAGTATGTAATGTCAATAAATCCTTCTTTCACAAAGGTATTTATTAACTGTTTATATTAATATCCGAGTCTTATCAAGAAAATGTATAAATCCAATAGGTGCGAAACGAATCCATTATGGTGGCAAAAGGAGTAAATGAATGGCGTTCCTTGTATCGTTAGAGTTATTTAGTGGTATAAAATTTAATTAATGTAATAAAGCAGACATAATTAAAAAGAAGAGGTTACTCATGACTACACTAGGCTGAAATACGAAAAAATCTTATAGCAGGTATCGCAATCATGTCAGCCACATCCGTCTCCCGGGCCACATCTGGGCCACGAATGATTTTCCCCGCCCGCCAACTGAACTGTAGTAAGGAAGTTTTTTTGGTTTTTTTTTGTTGATTGTGTGCGCTGTTATCCTGTTATTCCCCCAGGAAAATAAGGAGCTATGCTTAAATAATATAACATTAGCTTCGTTGTTTTTGTTTTCTTTAAACCTCCAGACCAATACATCATTCTGGATGGAGTGGTCTAAGATTGAGACACTTTGTTATAGTACATTTGATATCATTGCCCCACTCTATAGGTGTTTGACCCGGTCTCTACAAAAGGTTGCCAATCCCTGTACTATAGAACGGGTTAATCGCTTATTGCACTGAATCCATCAGATCTCGATCGAGGAAATTAAAATATTGTGCACACCGACTAAAAAACGACACATGATGAAGGAAAAAAAATAGGCATTTATCAAAATATATTAACACAAGTATATTTCTAAAAAAGATTTCATTAAATCCAAATAAAAAAAAAACTTTCTTTGCATCAGGTTGCCTGTATTAATATAGATTATATCAAAAATCTTCAAATTCAAATCGGAATTGGCTCAAAACTAAGAATATATCTTCACAGAAGGATGAGATATATTTACAATTTTTTACTAAGTGGTTCTGATATTGTTGAAAAAGATGCCACGGATCTGTTCGACAAATTTTCCTGTCTACTTTTGTATCACTGTGTCGAATGCATTTGAAGAGTGGGCAGAATTCGAAATACTCTTTTCGCAGACATTTGGCAAGGATATTGATTCTTGGTGACTTTTTCGAAAGTCGTTGATATTGTCAAAGATATGAATTAGTCAGCTATTATCATCGGTCGTTTATGGTCGCTCTCTGAAAATTACTTGCAAGGAAACGAAATATTTTCGATAGAACGCGATTTTAAAATAAACCAATAATTTGCCAACGAAAGAAAGATTATTCCTCTTAGAGTCAACAGACTATGCCAGTCGATCCAGTCTTTAATAACCGTCTTCCACACACGAATTTTGCAATCGGTTTAATAATCTCCTACTCAACAATTCATAACTGAAATCCGATGAAAAAAGAAAAAAGTAGGAAAAGAAGTAGAAAGAAGGTAAAATGAAGTGAAATATTTTGAAAATAAAAAAAAGTTATTTGCTTGTTCATTTTATTTTTAGGGTTGTAGTTTGAAATGCAAAATGCCATTTAAATCCGAACCCCTGTGGTTATTTTCGATTGGGTTATTCAATTTTGTAACATTTTTTTTCTAATATAAGGGACTAACCTAGGGGAAACTTTTTCTCGTTATTTCTAAACGTATTTTAACGTTAAATATTTTATTTTAACGAATGCATCGTTCTGGCTAGCAAGGCAATAAAATAACTAACATCCAAGCGATTACTGAGTGTCAGAGAATATGATAAAAACTACTATTAAGAAGAGAGAACAATAAAAGAACAAGAATTAAGATGTCAAAAGATAAATATTGACTTTTCATTTAAATTTATGTACATGCCCAAGAACTGCTACGCATGAATGTAAAAGCTTCCCGGGTTTCAACATCGATATTTTAAATTTTTCTTTTATTTTTAGTGTCTCTGCATGATTTCGGCGATCATGACTCCCCACTTCATCCTGTTATTTGTAGCCCTAATAAATGTATTTCTTATTACTCTACCTCTCTTTACATGTGTTGGCATCTGTAACCTCTGTACGTTACTCGTCCTGTCCTTCTTTACCTCTTACCTTCATTATGTACTGTGTGTTCCAATTTCTCCTAACAAGCTTTCTTTATTGTTTATCCCCCAAATTTTAATGAAGTTTAATGAAGGTAAGAGGTGAATAAGGACAGTAGGAGTATCATACTGAGGTTATAGATGCCAACACATGTAAAGAGAGGTATAGTAATAGAAAATACATTTCAAAGAGCTACAAATAACAGGATGAAGAGGAGAGTCATGATCGCTGAAGTCCTGAAGAGACACTGAAAAGAAAAGAATGATTTAAAATATGTTGAAACTCGGGAAGCTTTACATTCATGCGCAGTGGTTATTGGGCATGTACACCTGCCAGAGCCCATCCTTCTCCCGCTCCAACTGTAGCGTTGCAACTCAGACCAGCCACTAGGTCCGATCTCAGGGGGCATCTTCAAGTGAAACGCTTAAGAAGAATAAATCTTTGGGCAGATCATTACCCACGAAATAAGATTAGACGAGTGAGGAGAGATGCGGTCTAATGGACATACAGACATGCGTCTACATTTTCGCGTCGCAGCAGGCGGTTCTCTGTTTTCGCCTGCTAGTGACCACTGTCCTATAGAGGACAAACGTACTTTTTCATGCTATCTTTCATCCCAAGTACTGCTACTTTGTGAAAGAGAACTCGATGGGGATTCGTAACTGTTCACAACAATCTTAACATTTTTATATCTATGGTCAACTAGGTTTGTTCTCAGGGTGTTTCTTCAAGTCAAGCGCTTGTGACCTGTGAAGAATAAATCTTTGGACAGTTCATTACCCACGAAATGTATACATAAGACGAAATTGTCCCAGTAGGAGAATTTCATTCTGTTTCTAGCCTGCTGCATTAGACGAGGGGGAGGGAGATCCGGGTCCGATCGATCTAATGGACATAATGGAGGGCGTCAAGAGGTTTTCCGTTTTCGGCTGCTAGTGACCACTCTCTTATAGAGGACAAACGTACTTTTTTCTGTCATCTTTCATCCCAAGTATTGCTACTTTTTGAAACAGAACTCGATGGGAATTCGTAATTGTTCACAACAATCTTAACATTTTTATATTTATGCTCAACCGTTATTTATCCTAAATATCCTCATAATCTTCCGGGTCTTCTGAAGAACACTAATTGCAAAATCTATTTTACATTATCTAATTTGTTATTTGTTTTTGTTTAATAATATATCAACCGCTATGGATCATTTATTATCGAAATCTTATTATCGTGTACGCATTTCTCTTTGGAGATAATAATGGTTTTATTGATACATTTCGTACTGAATAATCCATAGCTGCGGGAGAAAAGTTGGATTCATGCCTTTCACAAGAGTAAGTGAATATAACCAACTTGACTGGAATTGGAACTCAGTTCTCCGGTATTTCCAAGCGGTCACCCATCAAGGTACTGACCGGGCTCGTCGTTGCTTAACTTCGGTGATCATACTGGAGAGAGTGTTTTCAATATGATGTAGACGTAAGGCAAAACATAAAGAGGAAAAAGGCTTGAAGAATTTGACAATCAGTGGATATTAAGTCTAATTGACAAGGTAAATCTCGTCGTATATTACAAACAAGCTTTGCATAAATGAATGGCAGAACTTGGACTGAACAGGATGATGAAAAGGTAAACCTTACTAAAGACCAAAATATCACAGAGTTTTAGCGTCTATGGTTGCTCACGTCCGGGAGGGAGACCGCAGAGAGAAAATGCCACAACGTGACAAAATTTCGTAGCAGGCCGCAAACTGTTTATTTTTTTTAAATGACTTTGTAATACGCGCATCTATTTTTTTTCCTCTTTTCAACACAATAATGTTTAGTTTACTGAAGTTTACTTTTCGTTGAACATGATATATATATATATATATATATATATATATATATATATATATATATATATATATATATATAGCCGAAGGGATATTTCCATCTAGAAGTTTCTAACTACAAAGAAAATGTATGCCCGAATCATATTTCAGAAAACGATAAAATCTTTTTTGCTTTTGGGCGTAGACTGAAAGTGTTATATATATAAAAATGGCGATAGCCTAACTTTTTCTTTTCCTTTCATCTTCGTATTAATGATACTTATTAAAAGACTGTGAAATTCTTATAGAAGTACTGATCAAACAAGATAAAACAACAATCCTAATGAAAGGTCTTCTTATTTAATACTAGGCCTTTTCTCTCCAAGTTAGCTTTTGCTGTTTGCAGAATCGTGATCATTAAGAGACTGGTTGGCCTGCGGCACGTCACGTCGCGTTTTGTTTACCCAGACGCCAATCCAGCTACATACGATGGGACGCTGAGAAAATCAGCATCCCTTCATAGAAATAGTCATTAAATGAAAGAACGATAGCGTCTGCTTCTTTAAAAGCTCTCGTGGTCTGTTCAGTGTCACAGGTAATTGCATGTTTCTCACTAACACCTGTATTCTGATTTCAAGCCGGGATAAGACCTTGGATTTTGGCATACTGATTTTAAAGACATGTAGTCTCTTTATCAGTAAAATCCGTCGCAATAGAATATTTATTTATTAGATAATGCTACTTATCCCCGACGAACGTAACCTGAGTAAGTATGAAATGAGAATTGATTGATTTATTAGGTGTTCACTGTTTATCAACCCATTATGCGTTGTTTAAAGCAGAAACATATTTGGGATTTTTGTTGTTGTGTGCATGAGAATATTGTATTACTTATTCTGTAATGAAATAACAATGATTTTCCAGATATAATATCTACTATTTAACCCATAGCAGGTGAGAGAAGATATGGATTCATACTTTTATTTTCTAAAAGTATTTGCGTGTATTTGAATGTAACGAACACGGCTCGTATTCGAAACTGACTCTCCGATCTCATTTTCTGGACCGCTATCTTTTACTCCAGTCTCACACCTAATTGCCTTGGAACGACAATTGTTTCGAATCTTATGATGAAAACGAAAAAAAAAAAAAAGATTCTTTGGCCATAATTCATACTTTTAATCAACCTAATACTACCTATTTTTCAGCCTGTAGATTTCTGAAGCACAAGATTCTTCAGTTTTCGGCGCCAAGAAATACACGTAGTTCAGTGAATGAAAGCGTTGCTTGATATAAATTCATTGATTTACCCAAAGAGTTCTGAGTTCAGTAACTGCTCACAGCAGAGGTAATCAAAAACTTAGAGAGTTGAGTTACTAAAGAGAAATAACTGAAATTAACATATCCAGAAAAGACATCTACTGAAGATGTAGAAGAATCTACTCCAAGGGATGAAATAATGGACTCGGCTCCACATTCCAACGTATATCACCTGAAGAAGACCAGAGCATGAGACGGACGAATCGCCGTGAATAGGGCAATAAAGATGAGACAATAGTTCGAACAATGTAAATAGTGTAAATAGCTACAATACGTAATCTCAGAAATATAGACAGTGAATATGGCAATAAAGATGAGGACAATAATTCGAACAATGTAAATAGTGTAAATAGTTACAATACATCATCTGAGAAATATAGATAGATAGGAAAGGACACCAAACTAGTTTTTATCCCTGAAGAGTTGTTAGACAATTAAAATTCTTTAATAGCCTGAAAAGATGAGAGTCAAAAGAAGAAAAATGAGGATGAGGCAAAACTATATTTAATGTTATAAACTTTCTCTTGGTTACTTGAGCAATTCTTACTACTCTATTATTCTAAAAGAGCAACAATGATTCAGTAGCAAGCCTACTCTTCTATATAACGAGACAAGAGCAAAACTTTGATTAAACTTAGAATCGTCCATGATGTAAGACACAATGTCCGAGTTTAGACAATTTTCCGAGTACATGGAGATTTTTATTTTACGGTCGATGTATAATTGGCATGAACTGTCTTTTCTTATTCTAGTCGCCTTTACAGGACTTCAGTATAAGAGCCCATAGTCGTTCAGATCGAAGAGAAAACATTATTGATCAAAACTAGACAAAACATTGTTGGTATGTCCGTGTATAATTTCTAAAGTGTTAATGGATTTATTTTTATTCGTCATATTTATTACGTCAAACGTTATGTTTTTTAGTACATTACTGGATTTAGTAGATTTGATATACAAAAAGATTTTCCAAGACGTTTAAAAGTGAGCAGTGTACTTTTGGAGGCCTTAAAATTAACAAGCTATTTCTTGCTCCACTTAACCATCAATTTAATGTAATTTTCTTGATCAGCTGCCAATTTGACTATACCGAAGCGATCAACCGTACTATTAATACCGAAGATGATCGATCTGTCATAGGCATGATTGATGAAAGAGGAACGGTTATTGATAAAAATTAGGAAAAAGTAGGTCCTAACATAGATCCCTGGAGGATACTCGCATTTATATAGAGAGACATTGATGAATGACTGTACAAGGAAACCTTCATTTCGCGATTGGATAAAAGAGATTGAATTAAATCGAAAATTCGTTCAGAAACACCACAAGTGGCGAAAAACACCAGCGTTGTAAGTCATGTTAACCATATTCAAAGCCCGAGCCTCACTAGTCTAAATCTTGACAAGCGCATTCATCCATAACTGTAAACACATCTGCAGTTGACCTTGAAAACCGAAAGACATATTTATCTGACAGAAAATCCTACTAGTTAAGATGCTTAAACAATTCGGATTACATTGCCTAAAAAAAAAAAAAATAATAATAGATCTACTATTCGAAAAATCCGACTGTTCAGACAAGTTCTTAAAAACAGGAACTATAGAAGAAAAGTTCCAACGAGCTTGAAAGCTGTATCAGCAAGCCATTTATTGAGGAGTTTAGATAGAACAGGAGCCAGTTCAAGAGATCAGACAATTGCAGGAATACTATCGAGTTCACTTTTTATTTTGATTGATTTGTTTTTGACGACTTATCAACCCTTTGCAGATTATTTAAAGCTACAAAACATTTTTAGATTTTAAATGAAAATAACAGAAGTAACGAGAATTGAACCTCGGCTCTTTGATTAAAAATTCTGAGCCATTATCGATTTCACCACCAACACATTCAAGCTTACACTATCTGCTAGTCCTGGGAGGTTACCTAAGTACTCTACAAGCTCGAGGTTGCTTAACTTCTGTGATCATAAGGGAAACTGCGTTCTAACGTGATGTGTCTGTAAGCCTGTATGCCGTGTGGAAATCAAGTTTAAAGATGAACGCCGAAACTATTAACGCATTGTTGTGTCACTCACACAGTAGAGATACTATGGTGGTAAGAAGCATGTCGATTCTGAATTCTTGGGAAAACGCGTACGGAAACCTAATATTTTACCGAGATACTGAGCAACAGAAAAACTGAACGTCTCTAAGCTGACAGCATCAGTAACATTAGAATCTTGAGCAAATTTAGAAGTTGAGAATTAAAATCACTAAACACAAAATGTTCACAGATAAAGTACAGAGAGAGCCATATCTATATTGTCAAATATTTTGTCTAATATGCTAATATCCAGGGAAGAAGTTGTGAGATAAAGAAAAAAAGAGATATTTAACAGAGTGCAATAATGATAGTCGAAAGCAAATGAAAGAAACATCCGGAGACTCACGAGACAATTCCATTATCATTGGAACAATTTCCTGGATATAAACACGAAAGCTTGTATAGAATCATCTCGACAGATTCGAATAGAGCCCGGAAAAGATAACTCACGGCTAGAAATATAAGTGTTTAAATAAATTTCACAAAGCGCAAATATATTTTGAGAACATTTCAAGAGAAAATATTTTGCAATAGAAAATTGTTTCTTTTTTATTGTCTTGTTTTACGGTTTATCAAACTTTTGCAGTTTATTTAAAGATAGAAAATATTTTTAGATTTAATGATTTTTTTGACGGAAGATAATAATAAACGTCATACGAAATAACTCATAGCAGTGGGGAGAAGTGGTGGATTCATACTCTTCCCAAGGGTATTTGGGCGAAACTGAATATAACAAATACGACAGAAATTGGAACTCAGTTCTCACAGTTTTAATGCTGTGCCATTATCCCTTATACTGCATACATATTCAAGCTTACAGCATCTGCGATTTCCAAACTGTTACTCGTTTAGGTATTGATCAGGCACAACCGTGCTTAACTTTGGTGATCGTCATGAGAACTAATGTTTCAATGTTATATAGCCGTAAGGTGACAGAAATACCAGGAGTCTTGGAGAAAGAAAAGTTGAATAACAGATGACTTTTGCTTACCGGTTTATTTAATCGAAAAAGTGAAACATTTCTAGAGATTTTGAAAGCAATTTAAACAGCTTACGCAGTGAATAAATATGCCAAATGTATTACAGTATGACTGAAAAAATCAAATTCTTAAACGCAAAATTGTGCCCTGCAATTTGGACCAAGTATACATACACAAACACACACACTCTCTCTTTCTAGCTCTCTCTCTCTCTAATACACACACACACACACGCACACATACACATATATATATGTTATATTATAGAATTTATATTTTATTAGTAGATG